TCTATGTGAGTATGCTACTTTTTTTAACCCATCAGGTAAAATACAATACAATTTGTATTGTGGTAGACATTAAAAATTAATACTTCACTTAAACGTTAAGCATTCAATCTTTTATATTCATTTAAGACGAATGAATCCAGACCATCAACCTACAGTCAAGGAAGCCAACTGCAGCAGTAGAGCCTGGACTTGCACGTAGAAGTTGAGCAGTACGCCGACCCAAGCAAAGAAAACCAGCAGGTCTACTCTAATTCAACGAAAAACGAAATTTCGATCGAAATTGATACACAAGGTATGTATGGATGTATTTGATACATGAAGGTCTTACCACTAAACTACAGTCGAGATTAAAATTACAAGAAAAATATTGTTTGTCACAAAAAATATACTTATTGATAAAGTATTTACTGCAATGTAACATATTGGAATGTTGTTTTGCAGCCTCACAATCTGCACGTCCCAGAAGAATACGATCTGCTGCTGGCTCCGATGTCAGAAGCAGAAGTTAATGTATTTAGAAAGAAAGAAAGAAGAAAGAAAGAAAGCAAGGTTTATTCTCCAAAATGACGCCATCACAGATAACATAAAAAAAACACATAATTTACAAATAATATTGGCTATACAATACAAATTACAATATACTACATATTACAAACTATACAATACCTATACTAGTATGTGTCAAGGCGTCATCTGGGAACAGGAGCACACTCAGCATAATGCCATGAATTTTTTTTCCATGGCGCTGATTTTCAGTGTGTCCAACCAGTGACTTACCGAAATCAGTGCTATATGTATACTTATTTTATTATGCTTTAACAGAATTATGACTATACGAACACTACAAAAGGGGAGATTATTAAAATACTATATAGGGCTATATACTACACTATGTAATTATTGAAGAATATAAAAGTAGGTACATAAGAAGACAAAAGCCGCATTCAAGAGGACGATTTTAATGCTCAGTTGTTAATAATCTACGACGATGAGGTACGTAATCGTGCAAAGCGTTATAAACTTTGATCAAAGTCAATCTGAATTTGCAGTAATTGTGTTCTATATTTATTTTTAAATGTTTGTACTGCTTTCAGATTTCGCAAAGGAGGCGGTATATCGTTCCAGCACTTGGAGGCGGCGTATTTGAAACTTCCTCGGAAAGCGTGAGTGCGGTGACGAGGCACGACGAGAGTATTCCCTCTGATGCACGTATTATAAGTTTTTACATCATGTGACCATATGAGTTTGTCAGCAAGATAAGGAGGTGTTTTATTTTTTAATACCCCGAATAGGAGAGTTGCCATGTGCAGTTTTCGGCGATATTCCATTTTTAACATTTTGGCATTGTTAATGTAAGGGGTGACGTGCGTGCGGGGCGGTATTGTAAAACTAAATCTTGCACATGCATTTTGAACACGTTGCACTAGACGTCGCGACCGCGCTAAAGGTCTCGGGCCATATACAATGTCCATATAATTAAATTTCGAAAGGACAGGTGTGTCACACAATTTTACCCGAATATCCGAATTTAAAAACTCCCTTATTTGATAAAGAACTTTAAGTCTATAAAAGCAGTTTCTGCTAATACTTAGTATGTGGTTCTCAAACTGTAGTTTGTCATCCATTAGTAAGCCCAGATTGCGAATCTCATTTACACGTTCTATGATTTCCCCTCGAATTTGGATGCATGCCCCTCTTTCTGATATATTTTTTATTTGATTTTTAGAACCCATAATTAGTAGTTTAGATTTAGTTCCGTTTAGTACAAGGCAGTTTGAGTCGCACCACGCGGCTATACTTTCGAGGTCTTCATTGATTTTATTAACGACTTCTTGAGTATCACGCGGATTACATGACATATAGACTTGCAAATCATCTGCGTATAAATGAAATTTACAGTGCTTAATGTTTTTTACTAAGTCGGCACTGTAAATTGAAAACAATATTGGAGCCAGGTTCGATCCCTGGGGCGCACCGGCTTTGATTTTTTTTGATTGCGAACGTATTAATGTTCCTCGGTCATCGCTCAGTTCTACAGTTTGTAGTCGGTTTTTAAAATAACTATCGAACCATTGTACTGCGCTGCTACTGAATCCATAGTAATGAAGCTTTGATAAGAGAAGGGAAACATTTATACAGTCAAATGCACGAGAAAAATCTAGTAATACTAGTATTGTGCCTTTTCCTTCATCTTGAGCGGTTAGTACATCGTCAGTAAGTTGGGCTAGGGCCGTCGTGGTGCTATGGTTCTTACGAAATCCCGACTGCATTTACGGTAGAATTTTTTTCTATCTAAATACATGTTTAGCTGTTCTGCGACAATTTTTTCAATAATTTTAGAGACACAGGGGAGAATACTGATGGGCCGAAGGTCTTTTTCAGACAATGGATTTGAGTTCTTAGGTATGGGTTTGACTAACGCATGTTGCCATAATGTCGGATAAGTTTTAGAGTTAATGGATTTGTTCACCATAGCAGTAATAGTTGATAGTGTTTTCGGGAGGGTCATACGGATCATATCGAGAGAAATCCCATCAATGCCTATGGCTTTAGATTTTAAACTTTTAATGAATTTTAGTACCTCTAGTTCATCTACCTCCTTTATCTCAAATATGTCATTAACGCAGCAGTGGAACTCAAAGTACGTTAAATATGACAACGAGACGTTTCTATTTCCAGGCACGTTTAAAAAATAGTCGTTTATTTTATTTGGATCATTAAACAAGTCTATCGGGATATTGTGTTTTGGTTTTATCTTAACATTGGACTTTATATGTTTCCACATTGAAATAGGATTATTTATATTACGATTAACATAAAAATTATAGTAGGCTTGTTTTTCTCTATATATTGCGTTATTGACGTAAATTTTTAGATCTTTATAGTATTTAATATGTATGTCGTTTTTACTTTTTCTCATTTTAATGTATGCGTCATCTCGTTTTTTCATCATCAATTTTATATTAAAGGTTAGCCACGGGAATTGCTGAGGTTTAATAATTTTTCTTCTAAGAGGCGCGTGAATTTCAAATAGTGTAAGTATGGCTGTGTTAAATAGCACTACCTGATTATTTACATCCGCGATACTCTCAATTTCTTTCCAATTTATTGATGTAAGGTCCTTATGAAAGTCTCCCTCGTCTATGTCAGAAATTCTCCTACTCATTATTGTTACTGGTGCCGGCTTTTTTTTACTCATATCAATTTGACATGTAATAAAAGCATGACTACTTAATTCACGTATAAGTTCTACAGTAACTGCGTTTACATTTATGTCGGTACATATTACGTCAATTAAAGTCTCGCTATATTCCGTGAAGTGGGTTGGCTTAGTTACATGCTGTTTCAATTTGAAGCAAGTAAGAAAATTATTTAGCTTTATAGTGGTATTATGCGTCATATTTAACATATTAATATTAAAATCACCGAGAAGAAGTAAGTTTTGGCTCCATGAAAAAGTCCCCATAGTAACGGTAAGCGCGTCTATGAATGTATCGACATTCAGCCACGGCGGTCTATACGCGGTACCGATAACGAGTTGCTTTCCGCCGCTAGAGGTCGAGATCCACATTTGTTCTACTAGCGGGGCCGGGGGGTGGGGCAGCTCGCGGACGCCGACGCCTCGCTTCATATAGAAGCCGACGCCGCCGCCGCGCGAGCGCACATCGGGCGGACGCGGCACGTGCCGCAGGCGGTAGCCGGGCACCGCGGCCGCGCGCCCCTCTTCGCCCTCCCGCAGCCACGTCTCATTGATGGCCATGATATCGACACTATGCCGTTGCATTGCGACAATAAATTCATCGTGCCGCGTTCCAAGGGACCCTGCATTTAAAAGACCAACTTTTACGTTACTTTTAGAAGCCATAAACGAATTTTAGATATACATATTTATTTGACATAATAGGTTCCGACGCAAAATTTAACTTTAGTTTGCTTCTTGTACAGACAAAATTAATTTTATGTGATTTGATAGAATAAATAATATTTATGGGGATATCACAAATTTTTAAATAGTTATCCATTGAGTAAATTTTCTTGTACCTTAATGTACTCGTATAGTAATTATTGTATGTATGTATTGCAGAACTTAAAGACAAAACGCTAGTGAGTCTTTTCAATACATTGATGTTAGAAATTTGTGCCGGAACTAACCAGGATATATTATTATTCCACATACGAGTATAGGCATAGTATATTTCATTTGACAGAAATAGAATCCAAAAATAGTTCTTAAATAAAAATACAAACACAATTATTAACGACTTACATAAAAATGAGCAATAGCAGAACAAGATAATATTTAAAAAAAAAATTCAGATAATTACAACTTTTATATTTTTTTTCCATTGCTTCCGATAGCCCCAACTGAATTTGTTCCAAAAACCCTCTCGAGATCTACTTCACTTTTTATGCGATAAGACGTTGTTCCGTGTTCTCGACGAGTATAAATTTTTCCCTCTTTCGACCATACGTAGCGCCAATCAAAACGCCGAGCGAATTCCTTAGTTCTAAAAAACACATTGCGGTTCAATTTAGTAAGCCGTTCGTTTATATAGAAGGCTCGTGTATTTTCGGAGCGGAGACCCAGACCTTCGGTAGTTAAGGAGCGGCGCACGCGCGCGGCCCGCAGCAGAGTGTCCCGCGTGTGCCTGCGCGCCAGCCGCACGACTATGGGACGGGGCTTCGCTAGCCTACTTTGCTCGTCGCGCATAGGACCGACTCGCACACAACTCACTATATCGCGCTCTTCTAGGGTTACGCCCAGCTTAGTAGCGCACGCAGTCACAATGTGTAGAACATTTTCTGCGCCCTCTTCTGGAATGCCTGCGACTTCGATATCATTGTACAGCAGCTCTTGGTCTCGATCATTTAAATCTGATCTTAAGTCCGCAATAATCGTCTCGAGATCCTGAATTTTGCCGCAGACATTTTTGGACTCAATTAGGGTTTGTTGTTCTTCAAGACGGATGTATTTGTTTTCTAATGTATCTAGGCGTTCTTCACACGATTTTATGGAATTACGCAAATCAAACATCTCCTGTCGGAAAGATCTAAATTCTTCCCTGGTTTCTCGCAGTTCTTCTCTAAATTTACGTAGTTCAAGAGCTAGCTCCGACTCTTTGAGACCTTGCGCCACAGGGCTTTGGGGTTTCTCTTCGCCTTGCTTGATAATATTCTCGGAATTAAGTCCTCGCACAGGCGTATTCTGATCTGACTTTCGAGGCGTCCGTATTTTACAGTCCGGACACAACCAAGTAGGTTGGACCTGCACACCTTCAGGAACTTTGACGCAGGCCCTGTGTGATTTTCTATCGCATTTAGGACACGTAACGCCCTCTGCCGCCGCCATAAACTTACCGCACGCACTGCACTTCATCGCGTTAGTTTAAGTTAATTGCAATTTAATGATGCAGATGATTATCACTAGGTGTCGCCGACTATATATTGTAATTGACACTTTGTAGTTCGAGGGTAAATAGGCAAAGTACATTAAAGTTATTAATAAAGGTACCTCTTATATCTCACTTTTAGATGTTTATTTCAATTTTCTTTCACCACAATCCTTAAGCACACACAAATGATTAATTTATTAACATATGCACCAGTTTTTAAAGTCCAGAAAAAATGTTTCAAAACATCGATATCACAACTTTAGACGTAGATATTAATTTTTATTTCGCGACAAGCTTTGCGTACTTCTAGTAGCACTGACATCCGCAACGTCACCAATATTTCAGATACTTACTGCTTTGAACTTTTATGCCCGAAGAAGTTACCAGGGGTCAGTTGGACAAAATATGGATGGGCCCATGGCACAACAGACAGTGTCCCGTTGTTTACAAGAGGTAACAACTGCACTTAATGCACCCCACATACTAAGGAAGCACATAAGATTCCCACAAAATAGGAATGAAAGGAATCTTATTAAGCGGAAGTAAGTACTTACCTTTCTATCTAGTATTGACCGTTAAACTTATTAACATGTGAAATACCTAGTAATTAAAATATTATTCTGTTATTTTAAATGAACAATTTACATAAAAAGTGTGCCAAGACTAGGCAAATAAGTCATGCAAAAACAAATATAATTTTATTGCACAATTTACTATTGTATAATAATATTGTATCCTTATTGTAGATTTTATGATAAATATGGGCTACCCGCTGTGGTGGGGTGCATCGATTGTTCACATGTAGCCATAGTGAGGCCTTCGGAGCACGAGGAACAATATTTTAATCTAAAACATTTTCATTCGATTAATACTCAAGTTGTAAGTTTATGAACAATATTTTAATGTTTTTATTATGACATTCACTATTTTATTACTTACATTTTATCCTATGTTACATTGATGGAAATTCTTTTTCAGATATGTGACAGTGATTTATTAATTACAAATGTTGATGCTTCATATGGTGGAGCAACTCACGACGCTTATATTTGGAGGGAATGTGAGATAAGAAACCACTTGGAGGGTCTCCAGGATGAAACAGTTTATCTATTAGGCATGTCTTGATTTATAGTTTTGATATTCATTATGTATAAGTAATGTGATGATGCAATTTACACTAATATTATATTTTTTAAATTTTTAGGTGATTCTGGTTATGCTCTAAGGGAGCGTATGATGACACCTGTAGATAATGCTGTTGAGAACTCTTCAGAGGGAAGGTACAATTACCTCCAAAAACGTGCACGCTGCACCATAGAACGCACATTTGGTGTATTGAAGGGTCGATGGAGATGTCTTTTGGCAGCTGGGGAACTCCATAACTGCACAGAAACAGCAGGTAAAATTATATTAGCCTGCTGTGTTTTACACAACATGTGTATAAGGGCTGGTATTGAAGGTCCCGAGTTGACGGAAGAGGAACACCAATCGGAGAGAACCAGGCAGGTTCCCTTTGAAACAGCCGCATCTTCTACTCAAGCTATACAGGCAGGTCGAAGGGCAAGGAATTCATTAATACAAATACAGTGTTAACTTTTGGTTTCGTCAATTTGAGGTTAAAATTACGAACAAGTATCTGTCAAACTTCAATTTCATTCGTAACTTTAGTGCAATAGAGTAGGCTTAGAGAATTTAAACGTCAAACTAATTTCGTTTCAACGAAGTTTCCAATCGAATGGAACCATGGTAGGAATTGAGCGAAATTTCGATCGAAATTTCGTTTTTCGTTGAATTAGAGTAGATCTGCAGTTCAGTTTTTTCTATTATGTCAATAAGATCAAAACATATCATTCATCAGTATGTAATTTGTATCTAAATGTAATTTCAAAATAAAAACTGAGTACAGCTCGGTCATCCGGGTACTTTGTATTTAAAATACTAAATATAATGGTTTGATTAATTGTTTTATTTTAGATTTTCGAAGAACGTAAAAGAAAGCAGAGATATGTTGAAGAGGATTTGAGTTCTGTTGTACGTTAACGTCTAAGGCTTTTCACTGCTTCTGATCATTCATATACTGAAATAAAAAGTACTAATGTTTATAGTGATAATAACTATTAAGGAGCTCAGTCGAAAATTAATTGTATCTCTGAGTGCACATATAATAATAATTTTTGAGTTTCTTATCCCAATGAGCCTGTCGGTGAACAATCAGTTAGAACAGTGTTGGAGACAGATTCAAGAGTAATGTGAATATTTGTAATTCCGAAAATTAGACGGAAGAATATGTCGATGTTCAACGGCTAAAAATATATTAAAAATTTAGAAAAAGAACAAAATCTCACGGAAAACTAACTTTTCTACGAGTACATTTTTGTTTAATAAAACAGGTAAACCATGGCATGCAAGCTATCGTTTCAAATCTCGGACAAGATGATCTTGAATATTTGCAAATTTCTATTTTGCCCCCGGCACATCATCTTCCGTTAAATCCACTTTTAACGTTAGCTTAACGTTACTGTCAATAGGGGATCAAATCAAATGTGGGCTACATACTCCACTAGTGTAGCCTCTGGCAGATCTTTTCTAAATCTTCAGAGGAAACAGGTAAATTGTGCAAGTAAAAGATGTTATGAATTTTGAACGGAATTGAAAATAAAGCACTGATACTCATTAAGATATCTAAAACACCTGCAATTTTCATAGAATGTGAAATATTTGTATGTTCAATGTGTATGTTGTGGACTAAATGATATGTTTATAGTGAAGTGATTATTTATAATAACCAGGCAGTTTGAAAAATTTCCAGTATGAGTAGGAATATGATAAAAAGCTATTCAAATACCTAAATTAGCCGGACTTTATGACTAAAGTCCATTACTTATTAGGAAGAGTAATAACAAGTTGGCTTAGGTTAGTTAATGACCAGACAAAGTGATAAATAACGATTTTTAAATCAGTAATATACTCCACCAAATCTACGAAATACCCTTTGACGTTTTATATTCATTATTCTGCAATAACTTTGTACAAGGGTACGCACATTATTGGAAATAAAATTATGAATTTATCTATATTTTATTACAACACTCATAGTTTTTTAGCACTTACTTTAATCCAAATCTTTTAAACAAATCAAAATATAAATATACAATTTAAACAAAATCAACTTTTTTTACTTGACGTTGTTTCAATAATACATCAAAAATACCTTACTGTAGTGTTTGGATGATTAAAATTTATGTTGATATGGTGGTGTGGCTATAATGACACATAAATCAATTAAATCGCATCAATATTCAATAAGTACAAGCAATACTAGTTTAGAAGTTGTTTATGTCAAAATATTCAATTGTAAGTATCTTGAAAATGTTAAAATTATTTACTGCCCATCTTCTGTTAGAACATCTTCAACTGACTGGAATAACATATTCGCCCTTTGCCCACGCAAATGTGTCATTGGAGGAGATTTTACTGGGCATCACACAAACTGGTCTAATAAAATTGACACTAGAGGGGCACAATTATGAGACAGTTCCTTGGATTTCGGTTTCATATCAATAAATAAAGGAAAAGCTACCAGAATTAAACTTGTAAATGGTTGTCTTCAAAAATCTTCAACTGATATAACATTTGTGTCTTGCTATATACTTTAAATGGCATATAAATAACGAAAATCTTGGTAGTGATCATTTGATTATTAAATCTTACATTAAATTCAAAGACGTCCTACGTTATGTTCGAAAAAGAAAATTCTCATCAGCTGATTGGTCTTCTTATAAAAGAGATCTTCAAGCTTCATTTCAAAACCCCGTATTGACAAATGATGATGAACAAAGTATGTATAACCACTTTAAAAAAGAGATTAATAAAGCAGCAAGTGAACACATTCCTATAACTAAAATCAGTATTGACCCAGAAAAAAATTTTTAAACCAAAAGTGTATTGAACCCATCTTTATCAAAAATAGTTGCGCAACGCAGGCTAGCTTTAAAAAATTTAGAAGAAATCCAACACCTTTAAACCTTATTAAGTTACAATAAAAAAGGTGGCAGAAAGTCAAAAAATTATTAGAGAAGCTAAATTTAATAATTGGAAAAAATTCTGAAATAGTTTTGATGAAACTACAAGTACATCTGTTTTATGGAATAAAATGCGTTGGGTAAAGGGACTCAGGTCTAACAAATACTATCCTACTGAAGAAAAGCTAAAAGATCTATTATATAATCTTGCTCCGGTTTCGGTACTGCCTAGAATGCCAGAATTTACATCAGTAAACGAACAATTGGAAGTTAACTTCACTATTCAGTAGTTTGAAAATTGCTTAAAGAAGAAAGATACATCCCCCGGATTCGATGACATTTCTTATTCTATGATTTAAAATTTACCTGATGTTGACAGACAGTATTTATTATATTTATTTAACGTAATTTTTTCAACGGGATACATACCCATGCAATGTCGAAATTTTAAAATTATTCCTATACCTAAGCTAGGCAATAAGGATAAATTAAGGCCTATATCGCTAATGTCCTGTATTTGTAAGATATTTCATGCTCTTATAACGAAAAGATTAGAATGGTACATAGAACACAACAAGATCCATCTTTTGTGTTCTATGCCTACCCCTTTAACCAGTGGGTTTCGCAGATCTCAATCATGCTTTGATTGCTTAGTATGCTTAGTAACACATATTCAGCTAGGTTTTTCATAAAATATATACCTACTGTCGCCTTTATTGACATAGAGAACGCTTATAATAATGTCCCAATTGATAAATTAGTTAATTTTCTTGACAGACTTCGGGTTGGTTCAAAATTTTGTAAATATATTTGGTCTTTTTTAACTGAAAGATATCTTGTTATAGAAAGGGAATCACATAAAGGGGAATTGAAAAGATGGGCCAGTAAGGATTAAGCGCAGGGTGATCCTCTATCTCCCTTGTTATTCATTATTACACATGATATATGTAGACAAATACAAAATGTATCTATCGCTCAATATGCAGATGATTTTGTAATCTATTCGAGTTCAAAAAATCTTAAGGACTGCGAGTATAACATTCAGAATTTTTTTTATCTTTAAACTTTATATTACTTTACTTAATAAAAAAATACGTGTGGCACTCGGTGACTGCCGCGATAAAGCTATTGCACAGCATTTTTTATCAACTTATGCAATTATAATTATTTATTTATTTTATTTATGCAGTTAAATCTTTGATATTAAATCAAGTTACACTTTTTGAGAGTGGTGACCGATAAGAAAACAATTTTTATTCTCTTATTGAATAAATGAGAAGTTAATATTGTTTAAAATATTTTTAATATCTTACAATACATGTAGGTTATTCAGGAATTTTTATCATTCAGTTAGCAGCTAGTGTACATGCATACGTCTAGTCGCACGCACACAAACACCGTGCCGAAGTCTGCCGAGTGCCGAAGTCTGCCGAGTGCCGAAGTCTGCCGAGTGCCGAAGTCTGCCGAACTAAAACGACGTTAGACGATGCACGGCTTTCAACGCCACACCTCCGTGCCCGTCGGAGTGGGGAGCGTGAGGTTTTTTTTCGTTACGGAATTTCTCAAGGCCCGCGATAGAAGCTATGCAATAGCTTAAAATTGTCTTAGATATTTCTACCGCCAAAACTAAGCTTATGATTTTTAGTAGACGTTTTAGACGTCAGGAAATTAAATTAGAACTTTATGGAAAGTGGGTAGTTGAGACAGACAACATGCGATACTTGGGTATTTGGTTGGACCGGTCATTGAGATGGTCTAAACACATTAATGAAATTAGGCAAAATATATTAAAATTTGTAAATATATTAAAAAAAATTAACAGGGCATGGTTGGGGTATCTATCCGCAGCATTTACGTAGTTATACTTATCACTTATAAGAAGCAGAAGGATTTCAGCTGTTTTTATATGATATGATTGCCAATAGAAACATTTTTAAATTAGACAAAATCCAACATCAAGCACTTTGTATTATAGGAGGTTTTATCAAAAGCTCACCATTACACGTTATGGAAAGTGAATTAAATATAACGCCTCTATATATTAGAAGAAAATTTTTTGCATATAAATATTGTCTGAAAGGTAAACCTAGAACAAATAATACTACTATTAAACTATTAACAGAACTCAGCTTACTCTGTCAAGATAGGTACCGGCAAAATAAAATAAACCACTTCTAACAATTACATAAGAACAAATTAATAATAATAGTGTGTATTCTTCGGATCCACTAGATATTTTCTCTTTAAATACTTGGGTATCAAGTATCAATGTTAAAAACGTAATTAAACAGGACTTAAATTGTATCATGGGTGCTAAAAAATGTCAGGAGATAAATAGGTACTTTAAAGTCGAATGTAATAAATGAATTAAATGTTAATTATTTCGGATGGCACAAAATTTTCTGTGATGGAACCAAAGATAAATATGGTGTAGGTGCCGCTTATTTCGACTCATTAAGTTAAGTTACAGCCTATATACGTCCCACTGCTGGGCTCAGGCTGGCTTCTAAGAGGGTTTAGGGCAAGGAAGTGTCCGCCGCGCTGCCCAAATGCGTGTTGACGAACTTCTTC